AGTTGAATTTTTGGACACCCTGGTAATGTCCAAAAATTGTTTGTTGATGTGGAACGACTTGCCCCCCACGTTAGAATTGGGTCCGGCAACCCTATCAGTAGCCATCCTAATAGGTGTGAGGTGGTATCTCATAGTTGTGATTAACATTTTGCTAATAGTTAGTGATGTTGCGCAGCATCTTTTCATGTTGTTTTTGGCCATTTGTATATCTTTGGAGAAATGTCTGTTTTTAAGTCCTTTGCCCATTTTTGAATCAGATTATTTGATTTTTTTGTTATTGAATTATAGGAGTTATCTATATATTCTGGATATTGATCCCTCAGCTACATGATTTGTAAATATTTTCTCTCATTCTGTGAGTTGCCTTTTTATAGTGTCTTTTGATGCACAAAATTTATAATTTTCATGAAGCCTATTTTGTCTATTTTTTCATTTGTTGCCTGTGCCTTTGGTGTCATATTCAAGAAATCATTGCCAGAAATGTAGATATTAAAGTAGGGAAGTGGCTTATGGCTTAAGATTCTCAGAGGTGGCCCTAAATTGCTGCATGGCTAACATGGACCCTATTTCTCTACTCTTCACATCAGCTGGGGATGAATGGATCTGTCTCTTCATTTCATTGAACACTAGGAGCAAAGCACCACTGAGTGGTGGTGCCCTTATACTCCTGGTGGCCTAAGCACACGCAGAGATCTGAAGCAGCAGGCCATGCCTGCCTCTGTGGAATGGACTAGGGGACTGGCTGGCCATTCTGCGCTGGGACCAGTCCCTACGTTGACCCCTGTGGTAGTCTCTATAGCACCTGACTGTTTAATATCCACACTCCCAATTGCTCCTCAGAAGCACCTTGTGCTGTAGGCATGTGGCGTTTTTTTAAAGATGCACAGCTCTCTGAATATGGGAGTAGATCCTGAGCAAAAGCCCAGGAAACTTACTTGTTTTTTCTTAACATCATCTCTGCAAAGCCATTTTTCAGCGTAGGGTGCTTTTTAAAAAATAGTAGTTAAATTGTAGCTAGATCATGGACTCCTTGAGGGCAGGAACCAGAACCTTGTCTGATTTATTTTCATTACTGAGTCTAGTTCTTGGCATTCTTTAAATGTTTTCCAAACTGCACTAACAGTATCACGTGGCCTGGGACATAAGCCTGATTTTGATTTGTTAAAGTTGATATTAAAAATTATTCAGAGTGGTGTCATTTTAGTTTTATTATTTTAACCATGGTCGGTCTATCTTATATATGCTCTCCAAATGGTCCTCCTCAGGACCCCCTGTTGGAAGGGGAAGTGAGGTCATTGTTTTGTCATGTATATACTGGATGTTACTAAACTCTAAGAATTTTTCTTCTTAATTGGTTAAATCTTGTTGACCTTACTCATTTTCTTTTTATACTGTAACTTCAGAGTATTTTAGGGGCCTTTAGCTCAACCTCAGGTGAAATCTGTAATGAGATTTTATAGAATCTGAATTAACAAGGTTGTACTGACTGAGTACAGAAGCAAAACTCATTTTGAAAACTTTTCTGACAACAGGAAGGGCAGACACAATTAGCCCATTTGTCGGTGAAGATCCTGGCTTAGCGCATGGTAGAACTGCGCGTCAAACTAGGTGCTCTGGCTCCAGATTGTTCCTTGCACTGTATTATACTAGAAATCCACCGCTCTTGGGATCTGGCCAGTCTGAAGATCTTTTCTTTAATACAATATTTTACCCAGTTATATTGGTTTGAATTGGAATTGGCAAATCCTCATCATTCTCGTACATTTACTTTGTCAGGCATTGTGCACATGGCTCTAGTAGGTGTCTAACTAATGTGAGTTTAGTGAATAAATTAATCCTCTGTGTGAGTAGTGTTCTCTCTAATAGAGGTGGGTACCAATTTGGGAAAACTCAACCTTTTTCTGGTTGCAGATCCCTGATCTTTTTTTTTTTTTTTTTTCATTTGTTTAAGAGTTTGGGGCAAGACTTACTTTTAAAAAAAAATTATTCTAAAATAGTTATGTAACATTTCCAGTTCTGAAAAACATCACTGAAGAATATCTTATTCTTTTCAGATACTGATTTTCCACCACTTTAATTGGACAAATTGATTCATATTGAGTTGTACAGTTTAAGTACTCCTGGGCATCAGATCCATCAACCCATCTACATTTATGAGGTGCTCTTGAGGTGCCTGGCCCTGTGTTGAGTAAGGCACCTGGAAGGTGGGTCTGAGTTTGAGGAGACAGACACATGAACTGGTCACTGAGGTACTGTCTGTTAAGCACATTGGCTTGGGAGTTGGAAGGCTTTGCCTCTGACTGGCTCTGTGACCATAGGCCAGTGACCTAACCACTCTGAGCCAGGGGAGGCTATTGATGGCATAGTGGGGTTACCTCAAAGGCAGGCTGTAAAGATTAAATGAAATAATTCATGTAGAGGGCTGAGACAGTGTTAGTTGATGTTAATCACAGAGATAATAAATGTAACAGGTGCCTCCTGATGTTAACAGTTGGGGAAAAATCCGATTTTGCCTGGCTCATGCTAAGTGTGTCCCATTCTGGATCTCCTCATACACAGTTCTGATGTCTCACCTGCTATGCCTTCAAGGAATGATGTTCATTGAGAAAGGGAAGTTGTGACTCATTCGATCAGTACATTAACCAAGAACCTGCTGATGTCATAGCTCTGTGGGGAGTATAAAGAAGAGACCTTACAGTGAATGGGGGGATTAACAGTTCTTGAGCACTTACCTGTGTGCCAGGCACTGTGCTAATCCCTTGCTGTTCTGTCTCTTTAATCCTTACCACTGTCCTGTGAGTAAAACAAGGGCTGAGAGAGAAAATAATGTCTGAAGTCACAGAGTATGTAAGTGGCAGAGCTGAGATATGAAAGTGAAACCATCAAATTCTTCTGTGCCATGCTATTTTTTTTGTTTGTTTGTTTGTTTTAATTGGGGAACAGTGTGTTTTTCCAGGACTCATCGGCTCCAAGTCAAGTAGTTGTTTCAATCTAGCTGTGGAGGTCTCAGCTCAGTGGCCCATGCAGGGATCGAGCTGGCAACCTTGGTGTTATGAGCACTGCGCTCTGTCCAACTGAGCTAACCGGCTGCCCCTGTGCCATGCTAGTTTTTAAGGACAAAAGTCCTAAGTAAAAAGTTAAGGAGCATTTTAAGACAGTGATATAGGGATGACAAAAGGCAGCCTCTTGGATGACTCTTAAAAGCTTGTGCCAGGGCAATCCAAACCCTACTTCACCCTCTCTTATGAAACCTGTTAAGCTTTAAAACACTGAAGCTTAAAACAAAACAAGCAAAAAACCCTTTCAATTCAGAAATAGTGGAAGAAAATGTGAAAAAGTAGGCACAGCTGACCCTAGAATCCCCCAACACATATGAAGGGCACAAGGCCTTTCTTCCTGTCTCAGTCCCAGCTCTTGCTGCCCTACCACCCCTCTATGTGCCCTGGGCTCCAGCCACACAGAACTTGACACAGTGATTTGTCTGTCCCCTTGTCCTGTGTGCCATATCTGTGTCCTCCCCAGCATGCTCAACCCTCACACACTCTGTACACACCTCTGTCAGTGGCCAGCACACTGGGCTGCTTTATTGATTCACTTGTCTGTGTCCCCCTTTAGATTTGAATCCTTTATCTCTGTATCCTGCATCCCTGGCCAATACGATCTTTAATCTTTGAAGGTAGGAAAGGGCTTGGTTGAGCAGATAGGGAGATAAGAGAAAACCAGAGAAAAGGACCAGTGTAGTCCCCAGGAAAAGAGGCCAGTCTTCCCAACCTGCTCTGTCCTTCTGGACCTGACAGGCCATTCATGCCCTTGGTCCTGTATTTGAGGGCAAGGCCTCTGTGAACTAGCCTAGGGACCTAAACTCTACATAGGCTAAAAATTTAGAGCCTCATTTCTTTGTGTGCCAAGTTCCAATCAAGTTACTCAGATTTCTTCCCACCCCAACCTTCTGTGAGTGTGATGTAGACATTCTTGGAATGCAGGTCTGGTCTACATGTCGTCCAGTAGCAGCCTAATGAGCAGCAGACAGGCTCAGGCACACCGCAGTTCTTGGCATGTATGAACAAGCATGTACCCAACGGAACAAGACCTCTGCTGGATCCCACCTCGATCCTACCAGTTACTTATCACCCAAATTTGTAATCTTCACAACTAGGATTAACATTCCTTGATGCCTCTGTACACCCTGATCCAGGAATTCTTAAGAGTTAAAGGAGAAGAGAAGGCAGATTATGAATACCTGCAGTTCTCTAGAACCTGAAGATTTCTTCATGAGGTTGAGTTCCTTGGTGGTTCCTGCAGAGATATGCAACTCTTGCTTTCTCTCCCTTGCTCAGTTCCTGTGAGGTGGGACAGGCCAGCTCTGGCAAGGTAATAGGAGTGAGGGTGCTAGGTCAGTTCACTTTGGCTTCAAGGCTCTGTATTCCTGAGGGTTCATTAAGCATGGCATTACTCATTAAGCATCTTCCTTAGTCCCAGAACCACATGTGTCACCCTGGATATCTCAAATTTATGAATGTTTTTTGAAACTAGATGTGAACTTATTTCTTAAATGGTAAGCTGTTTCCTGGGTGGACCAGGTGATGGCTGACCTGAGAGCTCAGGGGACTTGTTCCTCACCTCCCAAGTTTATCTGACCTCTCTGTAGTCCCTGTGGACTGTAGCTGGGGGTTGCGTATTCTGAAGGACAGGCCCTGAGGTTACTGTGCCTCCCAAACTCTGTGCTGTGCTCTATTGCTTTGTGCTTTTGGGAGTGTTCTCCCCTGTTTGAGAGCTGAGTTTCCAAAACACGCCATCAGAGAATCATCTGGAGTGGAAGGTGGGAAACACTTATTTAAAGATATCAATTATTGGGCCCTATCCAGATCTAGATTTTATTTAAATCCCTGAGAAGGTCTAGGAACCAGATCTCTGGGAGGGTGTTTTGTGTAGGAAAAACAGGTAAGTTTGATGGAGTCCCTTGCTAAGAATCCATGTGTCTTCCTTTGCTCCTGTTCTAGACTCTGGAGCTTCAACTTGGCCTTGCTCTTCATTGTGACCAGCCCCTCTCCCTGGCCATGAATGTAGTTGGTACTGGATCTCTGTTGGTTGAATGCATAAATAGATGAGTAGTGAGTTTGCTTTGCACTCACTCCAAAGAACACAAAAGTTACAGCATTGCACAAAGAATTTGAGGGAAGACAAAGACCAGGTATTTAATTTTGTGAAGCTGCATGTTAAAGGGGTAACCTGTACGAGTGAAAAGAGTGCTGCTGTTGTTGTGTTGGAAAGTCTGGATTTGGCACTGTAGATGGCCTGGCCTTGGGCAAATCCTCTAACCTCCCTGGCCTGATGTCCTCCTCTGTAAAGTGGAGTGAAGGTCAGAAGTGGTAATAGATGTGAATGTTTTGAAAACTAGAAAGTAGATCAAATCAGAAGTGAAGAATAGTCAGGGTAGGGACAGGGGCACAGAACCAGTCACAAGGTTGCTATTTGGTCAGGTCCAAGTTTGTAGGCTCTACAGGAACCAGGAAAAAATTTTAGTACGATGGCTTCTCAGGCATTCTGAGGGCCTCCTTCCCTTTCACCCTGTCCAGTTCCTGAGCTGACCAGGGCCCTTTATCCTCTGAGCCACCGTCCCAGTCCTGTGGCCATATTTTGTTGTTCTGCAGGTGCTCAGTAGAAAGTCCCCAGGGAAGGCTGCTCATTTCTGCCATGCTGCCGTGGTGTGGAAAGGTTCCTGTGGTTGAAAGTAGGGAGGAGGTAAGGAGAGGAGTCTCCAGGAATGGGTGTGCAGCTCTGGGGCCCAGGATCTATTGCAGAGAGGTTTGTGAGCAGCTGGCCTGGGAGTTGACCAAGACTCAGTCATGCATGCCTGCACCCACTCAGCAAATATTTGAGTGCCTACCAGGATGAGGCTGTAGAACCCAGGCAGGGACCACGTGGTTAGTCTACTAAGAATTAGAACGAGAGTGGTGTGATCTGCCTAGAGTTAGAACATGCAAGCAGGCCTATCCCAGTGCCTGTCCTGCTGCAAGGCTGCTGTGCTACTCCCTGTAAACTCTGAGCTGACCTGTTACTGTCTCCTGACCACTCCCACTTGATACCTACCTTGAACCTGACTGTCCTCTTATGCCTGTGTGTAGGAGTATGCTCCATGCAGAGCCTTGTTGGGTCCAGGGAGTGGAGAGGGCAGTGGACCAGGGTAAGTGGCATATATGCGCATCTCCCAGCAGCAGCAGCCCCCACCCACCTTTGTGTGCTCTTCAGGTCGCTGTGTTACGTCATAAGACCACCTTAGCACCCCTGTAGGAGGCATGACAACGTGACTTTTCAGGTGAGAAAACCATTCGAAGCCATCAAGGTATTTACCCTAAGCCACATGGTTAGTTAGTGGTCGATCAGAACTTGAACTCAGAGTTTCTCAGGATTGGGGAAATTTTAAAAACATGTGCTGTCATTGTTCTGTCTGATTTCAAAATTAATACATGTAATAATGTCAGTTTTATGAATGGGGAGGACTTAGAAAGTATAAGTCACTACCTCTAAGCTCCCACCAATACAGAGATAATCACTATTAACAGTTTGGTATGGTCTTCCACATTTTTAAAGGCATTTAATAATATTTATATTCATTATAGTAACAAATGTAATATTATACATACATTTTACAATTTCCTTTTTAAAAAATGTTATTGTAAAAGTAATACCTGCTTGTTATAAAATATTAAAACAGGAGAAGAATATAAAATTCAAAGTTCCCCCGACCTCATAATCCCAGAAATAACTGTTGATAGTTTAGTGTGTGCCTTCTAGACATTTTCTTTGCATGTGTGTGTACACTCATATATATACAGTACTTTGTTTTTTACCCATTCATATACATACTCTTGCAACCTGACCTTTTTTTTTTTTTTTTTTTTTTTTTTTTAGTTTTTTGTTGTTTTTTAAATTTTATTGGGGAACAGCATGTTTTTCCAGGACCCATCAGCTCCAAGTCAGTAGTTGTTTCAGTCTTTTGGGTTGTCGGAAAAATCATGACGTATTTTTTCTATGTTTTTCGTTGCAAAAATGCATCATGACTTTTCCGACAGCCCAATAGTTGTGGAGGGCGCAACTCAGTGGCCCATGTGGGGATCAAACTGGCAACATTGATGTTATGAGCGCTGCGCTCTAACCAACTGAGCTAACCAACCGCCCCACAACCTGACCTTTTTAAAAAAATACCTTTTATTGTGGAATTTTATAAGCACACACAAAAATAAATGAATATAGTGAATCCCCATTTGCCATCTAGCTCCAACAACCATCAGCCCCGTCAACCTGCCTGTTCTTATTTCATCTTTTCTCTCCAGTTTCACTTTTCCCCCTGGAGTGTTTTAAAGCAAATTCCAGACATCTTATCATTTTTTTAATTAATACTTATATATTTCTAGCAGATGAGAATTTTTCAAAAACATTGCACAATACCATTATCATACTCAGCAAAATTAACAATAATTTCTTAACATCAACTAACACCCAGGCTAAGTCTAATTTTTGTCAGTCATCTCCAAAAGACTTTTTACAGTTGGTTTGTTTGAATCTGGTTCCCGTGAGACCCTCACACTTGTTGGTATGTCTCAGGTCTCTGTGTATAACTCATGCCCCACCCATATTATTTAATTTTTAGAGAACTTGGGTTATTTGTCCTGTTAAAAGTCCCGCATGCTGGATTTGCTGATTGCATCCTCCTGGAGTTGTTTAACACATGCAGTTATGCACCCTATTTTCTGTAAATGGGTAATTCATTTTAGAGACTTGGTTAGAGTCTGTGTTTTATTTTTAATGCAAGAATACTTCACTGTTGGTGCTGTGTACTTCAGGGGATTGTCAAGATCAATCCTTGAACCTGACTTTATGGTTGTCTTTCCACATCTATACACACAGTCCTTTGTTTTAGAAGATTTTGTTTTTTAAAAAGAAAGTTGAGCTAGAACAAAGAAAGGCCATAATGTGGACCTCACAGGCAGCCTCCATCCTATGAAGAAGAGAGCAGATGTGTATGGAGAGGAGGAAGCACAGGGTCTTAGGGAAGGCCTTGGAGCCGAGGCCAGCAAGGCGCTGGTGCTGTCGGCAGCCAGCTGTCCTTCTGGGACATTACGTAAAATGATGTAACTGAGTGAAAAAGTGGCAGTGAGCCGTCCTTCTCTCCCTGCTAAGTCACTGAGCTGCTTTCATGGTGAGGGATGCTCGTGAGTCCAGAGTTCTGAATTGGTTGTATATAGGAAGGCTTCTTGGTCTAAGAAGACTGTGGATTCTGAGTCCTTGCCTTGTACTTTGGAAGCTGAAGTCAGGGTGGTGGTCTTGTGCTCCACTGGTGAGTCCCAGACTTGTGGCGGGGCTACCCGCTTTGGATAGAGTGCGTGAGGTGACCTGGAGCCACACAGTTTCTGAGCTGGAAAGGGCACCTAGGAAACCATATAATTCAATGCCTCAGTTTACAGATGAGCAAACTGTGGCCCAGAGAAAAAATGGGAGGTTCCCAAAACCACCTATCGACTGGGACCAGCTTCCAAGCCTTCAGTTCTCTGACTGGTAGCCAGCTAGCATTTCCTACTTGGAATTTCTGAGTTGGTGAGCGTGGTCAGATCAGGCTCTTGACAGATTCTTAATCTGCACCCAGAATTTCTGAGTATCCTTTGGTGTTGGTCTAGTCCTCCTCCTTGTTCAACTCCTGATAGGTTCTTTGATGTGGAGGTGGTAGTGAACAACAGCATTTGGTGGCTAGCTTGGTCTGTGTTGGCACGGTGGTTTAACTACAAACTGGGTGTCATGAGTCCCAGTATCAGCTCCACATTCGTCAGGTAACTGCAGTTTCTTGAAGAGACTGGACCAGATCACGTTTGCCCAAAGCATGGTATGAATGTGCCAGATGGTTTCAGGTGGTATGAGGATAAAAGACTTTCCTTCATTACATTTATATTTGTCTTTCACTTATGGTAAGTAATACTGGTTTTCTATTTTCAGCAGTGTCATAAGTCTCCTCTTTAAAGATGTTGAGGCTAAAAAGTTGATAGGTTTAGGCAAAATAAGGTAGGTGGTATTCTAACCTGGCAGAAAGAGGAATGTAAAAGATTTCAGCACATTGGACCAGATGACTTTTCTGGTCCTTCCTAGCTTCCAAACCTTTCACAGTCACAGGGTTTTCTTTATATTCCAGCATTTACTAGTCATAACTTTTCTGGCCAGAGCAGGTTCACCTGCCAGTATAGAGGCTGTCCAAAGTTAGAGGACAGACTATAAACATTCATGTTGATTGAGCATGTATTTTATCATCTGGGGTGGTTATCTGGGAGAATGTAAAGACAGTGAGACAGGGTCCCAGTTCCTATTTAGAGTCATCTGCTTTGTATCTGTGCAGTTTGTGTTATTTGTGTGGTACATTCTGGGCCATGTCCTTGGGAAGTTTATGGGTCATGTCTCTCTGGGTAGTGCCCCATGACTGTCTTTCTCTGCAGCTCCTGGGAAGTCCTACTCAGGGGTTCAGTCATAACCTGAACTTGTAGAGCTGAGAGAAGGTGTGGGTATTGGCATGGAGGCTGGGGGGAGTGGGCTGTGGAAATGGACAATCAAGGGCTGTCTGCCTTTCAGGATTTTTCCTGGGGAGAACCTTCACTCAAGAGTTTGCTGACAGCCAAGGATGGCGAGCAAGGGGCCATCGGCCTCTGCGTCCCCTGAAAACTCCAGTGCAGGAGGGCCCAGCGGCAGCAGCAATGGTGCTGGCGAGAGTGGAGGGCAAGACAGCACCTTTGAGTGCAACATCTGTCTGGACACAGCCAAGGACGCCGTCATCAGCCTGTGCGGCCACCTCTTCTGGTCAGTACCCCTGCCGCCTCCCCAGACGGCATACTGGCTAAGTTTACAAAGCGTAGCCCTGAACAGCTTTGGAGGTTTCCCACCCACTTTGGGTCCTGATACATTCAGGCCCAAGGGCGGGTGACCTGGGCTCTCATCCCAGCTCTGCTGCTGATGAGCTGAGTGACCTTGGGCAAATCCCGTCCCCACCCTGGGCTCCATATCCCCATTTCTAAAGTAACAATACCATTTAGTAAGCACTTACTATGTGCCACTTACTGCACTGAGCCAAGAGGCAGTGTAGCACAGTGCTTATGAGCATGGACTCTGGAGCCAGACTGCCTTGTTATTAATCCCGACTTTGCCACTTTTCCTACTGGATGACCTTGGGCGAGGTACTTGCACACACACTGCCTCATTTTATAGGTTGTTTATGAGCATTAAATGACTTGAAATATGAGGCTTAGAAGAGCATAGTAAATATTATGTGTTAACTGTGATCCTAATAATTGTTACCACATTTTATATAGTATATCAAAATGAAGTGGCAGAGTCAGTGTCCATTCTAGCCTCGATGGTTACAGAAGCCCCTCCTGGCTCTTGAGAACCTGGGTGAATGTTGAGATCTTATTTATTTTTCTCTAAATTTCGAGCTGGACCTTGAAGGATGAATTGCGATAATAGGGGGGTGAGAATGCCAGGTAAGGCAAAGAGTGTGTGCCACCCCAAGGCAGTCAATTTCTAGGGACAAGTGTATGCACTGTTGGGTTCACCTGAGACCCTGAGGCTACTCTACACCTCAGATAACACCCTGGATGGTGCTGTGGGCTGGAGAGTGTTAGGTGGTTAAGGGAGGGTTAGGCCAGACTATCAAACCCAGATTTTACTGAGTAGGACACAGTGCTATTGGATATTTTTGAGCAAGTAAGTGGTGTGAAGAAAGGATCATTTAAGCAATATTTAAGGGAGTTTAAGTTGGCAACAGTGAAAGTGATAAATTTATTGATGAGTGAAGAGAGTTGGGCAGAGATTTTTGTTCTGAAGGCTCTTGCCCTAATCATTAAGTTTTATGCAGAAACTGTTGTCATCAGCCCTCTCCTAGAAATTGGAGATACTTCATCCAGTTTTATGATTGAGATATCGTAAATCAGGACTTGAGATGAGCAACAAAATTAAAAAATAAGTCAGGGTATCAGTGGAAAGGACGCAGATTCTACAATGAAACAGATGCTTCTAATCTGAGTGGCAAATCTGCTGTCCTTTGTGTGCCTCAGTTTTCTTATCTGTAAAATGGAAATAATTGCACTTCCTCAAAGGTTAGTGTGACCATCCAATGACATTAACAAATGCAAAGCTATTCAGCCACAGCCTGCCACACAGTAATTGCTTAATAAATGGGAGTGATCATTATTACTGTTATAGTCCTGAACTTTTCCCGAGGAAAAATAACCTCTACTTCTCCCCCACTGCCTTTGAGGGGAGTTGCCAGTGGAGATCTGCCGTAATTTGGGTGCCGCCAGCTCAGTGTGGAATGGCAATGGCAAGGTTAATATTGGAGTCGGATGTCAGGTGTCTGGTATATCCAGGGAGAGTGTGTATCTGGATTGTGAGGCTAAACTCTGCTTCAGGAATTGGGAAAGGAATTATCCTCTGAGTCCAAATTTTATTCAGCTAGAAGACACATGTTTGAGGGACAGAAACCATGTCCACATTTTGCACATAGTAAGTGTGCAGTAGATATTTGTTGATTGAATAAATGGAGGGGGAAAAAAGTTTAAAATCTGGCATTAGAGTGACTTTTCCTTCAATTCTATAAATGTCACTTTTTTTGTATCCTGTGCTGGGTGATAGAAGGAACAGTAAACTGAAAGTCAGGAGACTTATTTTTCAGTCCTGGTGCCATAGGAAAGTCTTTTCATGTTTCTGAGCTTGGTTTCCTCATTTGAAAACTGAGAGATGAGTCCCAACCTCTGTAGTGTAACTCACTAAGCTGAAGGTGACCCCTTCTGTCAAGCAGCAGCCCCATCTTTCCTATTACTTACAGATGAGTTTACAGTATATCTGAACTTGGGAGCTACTTACTGCCAACCAAGCTCTCAAGGCTGAGGACAGCCTGAAGATTTTGTTAAACTGGATCTATATCCACATGTTCCTTGTGAGTCCGGGGAGGCTATGAACCCACTGAAATTGAGTCTAAAATAGTCTGTGTGTGCGCGTGCATGCGTGGACGAGAGCATGAGAATGCCCCCATGAATTTTTCTGCGCAGAGGGTCCCTTAGCTTTTGTCGGATTCTTTCAGAGGTTGACTTTTAAAGAAAAGGGGTCTGGGATGGTCTGTGACCTTGGGTCTTCACAAGTAGTGAGATCCCATGGGTAGAGATTGAAGTCTTATCTCCCTTGCCTCATTTTTCCTGTGATTTTAGCCTAGTCTTTTATAATTCCTGGCACCAGTGGTCCCCCCAGACCCTCAGTGGGATGGCAGTGCTCCCCAGTTTGGTCCTGTTTTCCCATTTTTATGCCCTCACCTCAGTGTTTCTGCTAATGCAAGCATTTTTCTCCCTTTCCCCCTTTCTTTTTCTCCTTTATGACTGGTCGCCCTGGGGACTCTGACAGTTGGCCGTGTTTACATCAGGTAAGATGCGTTTCATTTTACTTTGTCTTTCATCAGCTGTGGTTGCACAAGACACCCCTGGTCTCAGGAGACTAGTCAGAAACTGCAATCTCCCCTGCTTGTGGGCTCATTTGCTTGCTTTCCCCTCAACCCTCATTATAAACCTATCTACTGACAGCACTTAATGAAACAAGGGGTCAGTGTAATACCCAGGATGGTCCTGACTCTTCTACCCATGGCTTTTGCCTTGGGTCTCAATTACTCATTTGTAAATTGGATTTGATTTGATAGTATGTTAGGTTCTTATTTTTAAGGTTGTGCCCCTATAAAAAAAAGTACCTCCTATCATATTAACAATACCCGTAAAAGTCTTGGAAGTGTTAAGAAGAGGGAAACTTTTTTGGCCTCAACAGAGAGCTTTTGTGAGGAGGGGAAAAAGTCTGTTTTGCCTCAACAGAGAGCTTTTGTGAGGAGGGGGAAAAAGTCTGTTTTCCCAGTTTTAGATTATTGTAAAAGCCAGTAAGTATTCACCAAGACTCAGGCTGCTGTTTATTGAGACAGAGCAGGGCCTGGTGTTCATAACTGGCTGTGAATAGTCACAGAGTTGGCTGTCGTCACAGTTGTTGGCAGTAAAGCCCCACACTAGTAGGTGGCTTAGGAATTGGGGGGAGGACAGAAGTTTCAGACCGCTAGCGCCTCAGAATCTGGATGGGAAAAAGTGGGGGAAATTAGAGGGGTTCCTGCTACATTCAGGGCTGTGCATGCTGACCCCAATGGAACCTGATGGAATATATCTGCTGTAAATTTATGAAGAGCACGTGACATAGAAGTTTTGGAGCTTTTGCGAGTAAGATAAAGGAAATAGGATGTAAAATTATTAAATGCTGCCTTCTTCTTGGCCCTGAAGTCCTAGATTCACGTTTATATAATAAACTTCATATCATTGGGTCTAAAAATGCAATTTATATTCAAAGATAAATGTTGAGAATATATATTATAAATATTTATTGAGAACATTATAAATATTTATTGAGAATAAATTATTTAATGTCTACAAAGACACTACAAAAATGTTTTTATCGTTTTTATTTTGTTTTTAAGAAAGTTAAGCAAAATGTTTTTAAAATAACCAGTGAAAGGGTCTGGGAAACAGGATTCTGATGTTTTTAATATTGAAAGAAATAATTGAGTACAAAAAGCAGTGAAAGCATATAAAAAACACTAAGCAAATTTAGATAATGAGCAAAATCTATACTTGAGCAAATAGTAAATCACTGGAAAATGGTCAGCTTATATCCAGATGCTAATGTCTGAGATACAAAGTTGTTGAGGAAATGCTGTAAAAATGAGAAAACACAGAAATAAATACCTGACTGCCAGGATAATACAACTGGTCCATTGGGGAAGGTGGAGATTTAAAGTTGGTTATACCCACATCCAAAACAGGCTGGGTTTGTCAGAGCCTTTGACATAGCTCCAGGCTTGCAGTTCCTTCCTGCTGTATTGTTGGGAGCCCCTAGAGAGAACAAAGCATAAAGAAGCTTGTTTAATTACGATGGTATTTAAAGGCAATTTTGATTTCACTACTAGTAAATATTTATTGAGTGGCAGGAGCAGGAGTCAGAGTCGGGCTCCTTGAGGTATTCCCTGCTGGTGCTGGTGTTTCCAATTTAAGGCCTTTGGTCTATGTTGTACTGGCTCTGACCGACTGCTCTGTGGTGGGCTTGCACCACTCATGAGTTTTTCTCTCCTGCTTGCAGTGGTTGGAGACCAGACCTAACAGACAGGTGTGTCCAGTTTGCAAAGCCGGGATCAGCCGGGATAAGGTCATCCCACTCTATGGCAGGGGCAGCACTGGGCAGCAGGACCCCAGGTAAGGCCTTGGGGAACCTCCCACACCCACTTCTCCCCTTGGATGTGAACTCACTTCCGTTCAGCACTGACTCACCCCACCCATTACTTAGTACTTGCAGGCCCTCAGTTCTGAGGCAGTTGGGATCCAGATGGGAGTCAGCCAGGAGGGGAGGGGAGCCAAATTGCCACTTGCTGAGTTGTAATGCAGCTATTCACTGAACATCTGCCAGTGGGCAGGCAATGTGCTGGGCAGCACACAAGACATCACAATTCCATGTGTGTGAACTGCTGTAAACGAGCAGCCTGGGAAGCACAGTGTCTAGCAGGAGAGTCTGCAAGGAGGGGGGTTGTTGCAGCTGTGATGTAAAAAGTACGGGAGGAGGAGGGGACAGGGGGTCTGGGAGACTTTGTGGAGTTTGAGATTTCTGTAAATGGAGGTGTGGGTAGGTTTAACATTCTGACACAAACACAAATACTGAGAGCCCTTTGTGGTGTGACACATACACATACCCATCCCACCCCTTGAGCTCCCCAGCCATGTCTGGGACCTTCTCCCAACATACCCCAGCATACCCTGTGCCCAGATATATTGGACTTCGCTTAAAGGGACTCATCCTTTCACATTCATGAGCCTTTCTTTGTATTTGTTTTCCTTCTGCGTCGTCTTCTGCCCTCCCCAGTTCTTCCCACCTCCTCCTCCTCAAACTTCTACTCATCTTTAATGAGCAGCCTTCTCCTTGAAGTGGCTCTTCTTCCTCACATTAGTTGCTCTCCTGCATGCTTCCACCCCATTTAGTTCATATTAAATTCTATTAAAGAACTCCTTTTCCACACTGTATTGTGATTAGTTGCAGCTCTCTTTAAATCATAAACATCTCAAGAATAGTATGTCATCATTCTTAGTATTGGTAGCATCCTGCCTTGTGCATGATGGGTAATGAGCCCTCAGTCCAGTATTTGTGGGATGAAGGATATAAGGGGCTAGGACCCAGAGACACAAAGAATAATATAGAGTAATTGCCCAAGAGTAGTGGGAGATAAAGCTGAAGTTAATAGAAGCAGATCAGAGAGACCTTGAATCTCAGCCCACTCTGCTGACAGGCCATCCTCTGTTTCAGTTTGGATTTGGGTTTTTTTTTAATATCCATGACCCCTATATCACACAGGTCCAGGGAAAGGTGTCTGGCTGGCATTCATAACCAATCTGAGTTGGGCTCTCTGAAAGGAGTAGGCTGAATGCAATCTGATGAACATCCTGTAACGAACTGATTTTCTGCGTGATTTTCCATAGGTAGGGAGAAAAAAACTGTAGGCAGAACAAAGAGTTATTTAGTATTTGGTTTATTTTGGCTTAGGCTCATGTTCTGGGCAGGAAAGGGGGTGTGGCCCTGGCGAAGAACTTCCACTGCACTCAGGGAGCAGCATTTTGTCATAGACCTATTTTGCACTTTCTGTTTCAGAGAGAAGACCCCTCCCCGTCCTCAAGGACAGAGGCCAGAGCCGGAAAACAGAGGGGTAAGGAAAATTCTAAGAGAAGCTTCTAGAAGTGAGCCCATGGCTTTAGAAATTTCCCTCTTGGCCCTATACATTTTCCTTCTTGATTATAAAGGTAAAGGGAAATTTATACAATATGGAAAGGAAAAGAAGAAGGAAATTGAAACATTTTGGTCTATTTTCCTTCCTATTTTTTAAAATAATTACCTATACACTCATAGAAATTTTATAGATCTATTTATGTGTATTTTATAGATAAAAGTACATATATAAATATCTTTATTTTTTACAATATTTGGCTCCTGTTTTGTAACTTTTTTTTTTTTTTAAAGATTTTATTGGGGAACTGGGCGAGAGGAAGGAACAGCAGTGGGGAATTGGGGAAGGGGAACAGACAAGTTGCTGTCCTTTTGTTCTTTAGTTGTGGAGGACATCACTTCACTGGCCCATGTTGGTATTATTGTGCTGTTCCCGGGTGAGGCAGTAGCTCGCCGGCCATTGGATGGCCGCTCACGGCAGTTCACGAAAGCTCATGCCTGCTGCCAGCCAGCCCCACTGCAGCCTACGCCGTTGCTGGCAACTCACGGCTGCCCAGCTCCAGGTCGAGCTGTTGTTCACCATCTTAGCTGTAGAGGGCGCAGCGTCACTGGCCCTCATATGTGGGATCCGAACCGGGGCCCTGCTGCTCAGAGCTGGCGTCCCAAGCCAACTCCTAACCAACGTGCCACTTGGCCAGCCCATTTAACAACTTTTAAAAATTTCATTCATTCTGTATGAGTGCCTTCTGTGTGTGCCTGGTTATCATTCTAGGCACTAGTGATATGTCAATGAACATAGCAATAAAGAGCCTGCCTTTATGGAGTTTACATTCTTAGAAAGGGGGAGACGTTCAACAAGTCAGTAATATTTTATGTGTCTGTTTAGTGTTCCAATGTATGGACTTCATATAATTTATTTAATCCACTGTTGGACATTTAGCTGCTTCTTTTCCCTTATTCTGTTTTAAAAATACTCTGATGAATTTATAGATATATATTTTTTTTTAGCAGATTCATGATTATTTTACTGATAAATTCTTAGAAGTAGAATTGCTGGCTCAAAAATTTGCACATTGAAATCAGATGTTAGTCTTTAAAAAAAATTTCTTGTTAAAATATTAAAAAATTAAAAGCAAAATATTTACCCACACTACTAGAATCCCACAAGTATCTCTTTATTTCCCCATCTTCTCTTCATCTGTATGCCTGTGTATATATATTTTATGTAGCCATCGCCATATTTTTGCTGCTTTAAATTTTAATTTTGATAGTATTTTCCATGATGCTCTGTAGCGTCCTCTTTATTATTTTTAAAGGCTACTATTCCATTGAATATTGGTGTATTATAATCTAGGTTTTCCATATCGAAGGACCTTTTAGTTTCTTCCAGATTGTGTTATTGTAAATAATGTTACAGTGACCATCTTTGCACATATATATATTTTTTCTCATTTGAATTATGGCATTTCCTTAGGATTCCCAGGGGTGGGATTATTGAGTCAGGAATCTTGATAGAAATTAAGGATCTCCAGAATACCCTCAAAAATAATAGCAACGAACACTTGTCGAATATTTATTATATGGAAATAACTCTATGGTATAGAGGTTTAATATGCACAATCTCATTTAAACTTCACATCACCCATTTAACAGAATAGTAACATGAGGCCTTGTAGGTGAAGTGACTTGTCCAGGACCTCACAGACAGGGCCGAAATGCACATCTGGCTGGTATTGAACTCCCTGCTTTTGACGACCAAGTAATACCACTTTACCCTTCTTAGGTTCTGGTTCCCAATGGAGTATTAGCTCCTAAACCAGGAATCAGAGGCCCCAGAAAGTCAGAATCCCAGGCTTTGATAACGCTATGCATACCTCTAGCACTTACAAGCACCTGCAGCCACCAACGATGCTTTTTGCCTACTCTGCCCCAGGAACATAAACTCACCAAATGTGAGGACTTGCGGGATTGTGTAAATGTTGCTAAGAGGGAGGCCAGGGGGTCAGTCCTGGGGATTGCACTGAATGAAGTAGTGATTCCTGATGAAACAGTTGCACTTTTCTGGGTAAGGCAGCCTTGGTCCCAGGAGCCCTCAGACTCTCAACCATGCTCTGTCTGAGTAGGAGGCATTTCAGCACCGAGATGGAAACTGGTTGTTTTCCTTCCATGTAGGTTTACCCTCTTATTAAATTGACTGTGAAGTTTTATAGGTAGTGCTGCCCAGCAAGAAGTTTGGAGCTGAATGCCAGGCTGCTCAGTATGGGGTAGGGAGTGGTCACTTTCATGATGTGTGAAAGACTCACAAATGAAGGCTCTTTGTGGGAGCAGTTGGCCCAGTCATTTTTCTTCTTTTTATTATTTTTAATAATTTGTTCTAAAGCTCTACCCAGGGATGCAAGGGAGGAGAGAAATTTTTTGTAAGATGTGCACAATAGTTAAGAGCATGGGGGTTTGGATCATACTGACTTAGTTTTAGATCTAAACTCTACCCCCTACTACCTTGGTTAGGTTAGTTCACCTCTCTGAGCCTCATTTTGGTCATCTGTAAAATGTGGGTGATGCTAGTGTAAGAATTAAATGTGACTTATGTATCCTAGTGCTTAAAATGGTGCCTGGCACAGAGTTAGCACTCAGAAAACGGGAGTTACTTATTCACAGTATTATAATGCCTATTGAATCTTTTCATGTGAAAGATGATGCAATGTTGAACATGTATAGGGGACAAAGCTCAGGATGGCACGCCAAACTGCTGACAGTGGCTATTGGAGGGGAGGGGCTATGAAATGGAGGATCAATAAGGAGACCTCTAACTTTCTGTCAGTTATCCCTATAATGTGTGAATTTCTTATAACAAGTGTATATTACTTTTGTAATCAGCAAAAAGGTATTTTAAACTTTTAAAATTCTCTTTAACTGGGGCCGGCCGAGTGGCGCATTGGTTAAGAACTGGCTTGGGACGCCAGAGGGCCCCGGTTCGGATCCCACATATGAGGGCCAGTGACGCTGCCCTCTACAGCTAAGATGCTGAACAACAGCTCAACCTGGAGCTGGGCTACCATGAGTCGCCGGCGACGGCATAGGCTGCAGCCCCTGCTGCAGTGGGTTGCCATGGGCTACTGTGTGTAGCCAGCAGCCAGCGTGAGTGGACGTAGGCTGCAGCCCCTGCTGCAGTGGGTTGCCATGGGCTGCTGTGTGTAGCCAGCAGCCAGCGTGAGTGGGCCAGCAGCCGCAGTGAGCGGCTGTCCAGAAGCCAGCGACTGATCTGCCTTGCCTGGGAAGAGCGCAATGATGGTGCCAACTTGGGCCAGTGAAGCAACATCCTCCACAACTAGACTGAAGAACAAAAAAGACTGCAACTTGTCTGTTCCTCTTCCCCCAATTCCCCAGCGCTGTTCCCATTCCCCAATTCCCCAATAAAAATCTTTAAAAATAAATAAATAAAATAAAATAAAATTCTCTTTAACAATATTAAAAGAAAATTTTAGGGGTGACTGGTTAGCTCAGTTGGTTAGAGCGTGGTGCTGATAACACCAAGGTTGTTGGTTCGATCCCCGCATGGGCCACTGTGAGCTGGGCCCTCCTTAAAAGAGTCAACTATGCAATTGTAGCATGAAAGCAATGTGTAACCAATGACCATGGCTGTTCCCCAATAAAATTAAAAAAAAAAAAAAAAGAAAGAAAGAAAATTTTAAGGGAAAATACCCATATCTCGTCCACATACCTACACATTGTCATGTACTTGTCACCATGGTGTTCAAACAATTTCATCTGATTATTTGGTCACAGAGTATTTCTATGTTGCTGCATAGTCAGTGTAATGGTCCTTTGAGAGCATGTATCAAGATTTTTCATCATGACCTCCATTGTTGGCTAATTAATTAGGATTGCACTTTTTTGCTATCACTGATAATGTGTAGCTTGTACTGATGTTCCTTTGAAATTGGATATAAGAAGTATTGCTAATTTTGCTGTCATAAAACATGTAGAAAAATTTACTGACTAGTGTGGGACTCTGGGAATGAACCTGGAGCTCTAAGAACCCTGACGTGCATCAACAGAGTGTTTTACTTTGGGTCAGAGCCAGTTCCTTCTGGCATTCATAACTCCTTAGCTGGGACCCTTGAAGGCTAGAAGGGCAGGGGGACCACCAGGATTTCTGTGTGTTGGGGTCTAGATGGGAGGAAAAGATGTCCCCCTTTGGAAACAGGTGGCAGAGGGTAGGGAAGAGAGGTGGGTACCACATGTAGGGTGACATGTTTAACAGGCGCAGGAGAAAACTGCTTGTTCTACTTCCTAATTGCATTTTTTCTACATAGGGATTTCAAGGATTTGGATTTGGAGATGGCGGCTTCCAGATGTCTTTCGGAATTGGGGCATTTCCGTTTGGGATATTTGCCACAGCATTTAATATAAACGATGGGCGGCCTCCTCCAGGTAAGACCCTATTCCCTTGGTAATGCTGCTTGAAGGCTCCTTGGAATCTGGCAGTATATAGGTTTCAGATAATTGTTACTACATAATCAGCCTTTTCAAAATATGCTAATAAACTTCAGAGTACAGATAGTCATGCTGATGATAATGCATACTTAACGACTAGGCATGTTTAGAGTGCTTTCTGTTACAAACTCAGGATCCTCATGATAAGCCTATGGGACAGATGTGTGTTAGCTCTGCTTTACAAATCAGAAAATGCTCAGTAATGTTACCCAAGACATACCCCAGGCCCATAAAATAAAAAAGTGTAAACCATACGCAGCTGAGGGAAGAACCTAATCCTGCACATGTACCCTGCACTTTGACCCTTGGGGGCCAGAAGGGGCAAGGTGACCCGCAAGGAGTCAGGACCTCTATTCTCTGGCATCTCTGTCCAGCTTCCCTCAGGACACACGTGGGGCTGGTCCCAAACCCCAGCCCTTTGGGAACTCGGCCTAAGCCTGCCACTTGCGGCTACCTTTTTCTCCCCACCAGTTTGCGAGTGCCAGCTGCATTTGGTATGGAGCAGGGCGGTGAGGTGGGTACCCTGTACTCTATCACAGTCTGTCACCCAGGATCCTTACCATGGAGCCTGCAGAGCTGCCGAGGTTGGTTGAGCTCTGCTTGTAGTCACTGGAGCCTCATGCTAGCACAGTAAGGATCAGTATGTGGTTCTTGGCCTGGAGCTTATGCTTTAGGGGCAGTAACCCACTCCTGGGCCATCCCAGTTGTCCCCTGCCCCCACCCTGGTGCTTGGCACATAGCAGGCAATCAGTAAGTATTTGTTGACCGCCTGCCCACATGAAGCCACCAGAGCACCTAACTTGGGAGTAGTACAGCACCAAGAGTTCTCAGGAATACCTTGCCTTACTTCATCTGCCTCAAAGGTTTCTCCTCTGTTCACATGTTTTCTATGAGGAAGGAGACCCCAAAGGGCAGGGCATGCTCTGCTGTGAAGGAAGTTCATGGCCCCACGAAGGCAGCAGGAACCTGCCTGGTAGCTTGCTTCCTTCCAGCCAGGTCTAAGGCTCACCTTTGGTTGCCCAGGTAAACAGTTTCACAACCAGGCTGGACTCTGGATCACTTTATCCTCTTGCCACAATCACAGACAATTTTCCCTTGTTGTGTTTAGTATTATTTGCCCATCGGGATATAGATTCTATTCTCTTAACTCTCCTTCCCGTGTAGTCAGGACAGGAAGTTCTATATAGTAGCTTTTCTCAAAGCAGAGCGGCGTGGAGACCCAGGTGCTCAGCCCACTGCTGCCCCTAGTTTACTATGCAGTGAGGGAGACAGGTCATTTTGCCTGTCTGGGCCATAGTTCTCTCCTCTGGCAAAGGAAGGCACTCCATGTGGGGCTCTCTGAGACCAACGCCCAGCCATTCAACAGTGCCAAAGTCTAGAGACCCCATGCCTCAGAAGGCAGTGTGCAGGGAGGACAACTGCGGGGCTTTGCGACTAATTCATCAACCTCATCATCTTGGTAATCACCTCAGACCTGTGCTTCAGGTTCTTCTTATAGAAAATGGGAATGATAATACCCACCAAGCAAGAATGTGTGTACAAAACACTTAGCACGTAGAAGATGCTTAACAAACAGTAGCTTCCGTTTTTCCCTCTGCGAGTTTTGTATTTTATTTGCACCTGCAGGCCATATCCTCTTAGGATAAATTGGAGACCTTGTCCTCATTGTTATATTATTCCACATGTTTTCATAATTCCAGTTTTGTTTTGCCTGATGTTATTTGGGGTTTGGAAATCTTTTTAGTGTGAAGGATTCTGTGGTAAAGAGATGAAGGTTGATGCTCTTGATGTTGGGCCCGAATGGGCAGTGTGCACAGCTGCAGCATTCTGACAGCCTCTTTTCTCCCTCATGTGTCTCCAGCTGTCCCCGGAACGCCCCAGTACGTGGACGAGCAGTTCCTGTCACGCCTCTTCCTGTTTGTGGCCCTGGTGATCATGTTCTGGCTGTTAATTGCCTAATACTGGGCTCCCGGCCTACATCCATGGCAGGACCTCTGGACTGGTGACACCCCACTCTTGATGTTTGGTTTCCTGGCTAATCCTGACCCATGGAATCAGTGGGATCAATAACACATCATGGAGTCTTGCTTCTCCATCTGAGCTTTGGGGCTCAAGACCAGCTGTCTAGGACCCTGGAATATGGCCACTGCCATAAACACCTTGCTATAACCTTAGGCCCTGGCGTTGAGTCATCTTATGGTTACACCATGAAATCCTATTCCAGCCAGCTCAGCAGATCCTGACTCTGCACAGAGAAGCGGCAGGAAGAGAGAAACTTTCAGTACAATTTCACCTGAGTTTAATCTTATAAAAACTAAGGGATGAACCAAATGGGACTTATGGAAACTTTCTTTCATCTTTAAATACCCCTTGGTAAGTAGCCTCCAAAGTCATTGGGGCTCCTCATGCAGAGAGGTTCCCCTTCCAGATCCCAGTGCTGCTCTGTCCTAGTTCTTCTCGTTTCTCCTCCCCCTACCCCTTCTCCTCAGCAAAGATGCGAGAAATTGCTGTCCTATAAAGATGATGATTGCAGCAGCTGAAGCTGGAGTCGCTTCATGAATTCATCAGAGACCCAAAGATCTTTTATTGGCTCTGGGCTATACTCAGTTATACTTCGGCCCCAGAGAGTGGCTTGAATGACCTCCTTGTTTCCTGGCATAGATGATCTCTGGAGACATGTGGCTTCACTCACAGATTTCCCATCAGTTTTCCCCTCCAAACTATGGACATTTGCCTCTCTGCCAGAGGGCACACAGCCTAGACTACTGCTGAAGCCAGGACTGATTGTGGTGCATTAGGAAAGACCTGCATCCGGGACTCTGGTAGGATTCAGAGCTCTGATGCAGGCGCAACCACATAAGCATCTCTGGCCCCAAGGATGCAGAAGCTCCGCGTACATCTTCCCCAAGACCCGCCAAAAGGAACCTGGGGGCTTTGTCAAGGCAGCCCAGGTGCATGTTGAAGACCACCGTCCTCAGAAGCCAAACTGTCCTCCATGAAGAGGCAGGGAAGGGGGGAGACCAAAATTTTGATGTGGCCTGATGGGCTCCCCTGAAAACTCCTTGTATGTGTGCTAAAACCAGGGAAGCATGTGACTCCAGAGCAGGCGACCCCTGATGTTTTGTAAAGCCGGGCAGTGGGCCTGGGAGCCTCAGCGCAGTGATATGATGTGGTCTTCCTGTGGAAATCATTCTTACCAAGCCCTTGATTTGTTTTTTGACTTCACAAGCTTTTTCCTCCAAATCTTATTGAGGGAGTGTGGTGCCAGGCAGGAAGATAGTTCACTTGGTGGAATGGCTCTCACTCTGCCTGTCAGGCCTCTTCCTAGAAATCCAGCCTCTCCCAAGAGACCCCGAGAGTGGGAAGAGATGAACTTCCTATGGGGCCTCATTTCGCTAGTCCACACTGTTTCTGGCTCACCCTCAGCAATAAGCCAACAAGTGGTAGAAAGCCCCACCTAGCATTTTTTTCCTGATACGGCTCTGCATAGCGTGTGGAAACCATGACCTTGTTGTCCAAGATGAGGGAAGCCCCTCTCCATTACCCCCCATTTTTTTCCCCTTGTACCCGTCAATGCCAGAGAGTTCAGTGTTTAAACAGACAAAATGTAAGTATTGAATAGGTGGTTCGTTTGCCGAATCGATTTGGTAGGAATAAACCACCAGCTTTACAATATGCCTGATAAGATTTTAAACATTCTTGGAGGCACCCATTCAAGAGTGCTGTTTTTATCACCTGGAAATCCTCAAAGTTGGAGGGGGTCCCTGGAGTTTGTCAGCTAGAGGATTGGTGGGATCCCTCAGTGCAGTGGCTCCACCTAGTGGTGGGAGAGAAGACTTCAGTCAGATAGGCCCAACAGAAATGGGTTTCCAGAAGATTAAAGGAGGGTTGCAGGTAGGAAGACAGATCACTTGGACTCTAAAACGGAGTGAGCCCAGGAGAGCTCCCCCAGCAAAGGAGTCCCAGGAAGCTGTTAGCAAAGCCATGTTGGCCATGTGCCCGTTGATTTTGAACCTTACAAGTCTCGACTCACCCTCTGCCAGGAGCTGGGGCAGGAGAACCAACTTGGGATTGCTCACCCAGACTTGATAGGGAGCCCCCTTCCCACTAGCCCTCTGCAGGCTCACCACCTCTCCCCTTGGCCAAGGCAGTTTTCCTTTCTTTTGTGTGTGTTTTTTATGTTCTTGGCCTCCGCTCCCCTCCTACCACTTTTGTGGATTAGGACCAGGTCCCAACCACAGTCAGAAAATGTCACCATGTACAGTGGCACTACCTTAACCAGTCACTAATTTTCACTGTTGTGAAAGTGATTTGATTTAGAATTAAATGGTTTTACATTACTATGAGCTATGGACTTCTTATCTGTGTCGTAGGTCGGGAGATGGTTTGGGGAGTAGTCACTCTGGTCAGGCGTCTGGGAAGCACCTGTGCGTCTGTGGAAATGTCACACTGGAATTAAAGTCTTCAAACAGCCATTGATAATTAGAGATGCGAGGTGTATGCTGGAGGCCTGGCCTAATACATAGCTCTGTCCAGGGTGTCACCTGTCTGACAGGCAGCCCTGGTCCTGACAAGTATGTGGAATTCCTGAGCTTGCAGGCTGCCCAATGGAACTTAGCTTGTGGCTGATAGAGCCTTGAGGACAGTCACAGGTTATTCAGTCAGCATCTCTCTGCCATGTTCCATGACAGGGTAGGTGGGCCCCCGGCAAGGGGGTGTGCCTCTCCGTGAGGCTACTCAGCAGCAGAGTATGAGATAGGAGATGGTGAGGCTCCCCAGCACACCAGAGCTATAGGTCATCCCTCTGAAAGGAGCTCTTTTTTCCCCTCCTACACTTTGACCTAATAATTACCAAGCTGATTACTGCCAAAATATAGTAGAAAATGCAAAGGTGAGAGAACTCCAGGAACTCAAGCCCAGTAAGAAAAGAATGGATTTTGTTTCCAATGGAAAACAAAACACATTGAAGTAGAATAGGACAATAAAGCCTCCACAGACCAATTGCCCAACCCCAATAACCATCAGCTCGGGTCCAGTTCTGTTTCCTCCCCATGCTCACACTGCTCCCTCTCCCCTACCTGGATTGTTTTGAGGCAAATTCTTGTCATGTGCCATCTATATAAAATATTTCAATATGCACCTCAATAAATATTTAAAAAAAATAAAATACTATTCTATATACCTTAAAAAATTAATAATTCCTTAATGTCATCATATATCCATCCCATCGTTCAAAACTTCCTAGTTGTCTAGGGCAGGCCGAGTGGCGCGTTGGTTAAGAGCTGGCTTGGGATGCCAGAGGGCCCTGGTTCAGATCCCACATATGAGGGCCAGTGACACTGCCCTCTACAGCTAAGATGCTGAACAACAGCTCGACCTGGAGCTGGGCTGCCGTGAGTCGCCAGCAACGGCATGGGCTGCAGTCTCCTGCTGCAGTGGGCTGCCATAAGCGACCGTGTGTAGCCAGCAGCCAGCGTGAGCGGCCAGCAGCCACAGTGAGCGGCCGTCCAGAAGCCGGCGACTGATCAGCCTCGCCCGGGAAGAGCGCAATGATGGTGCCAACTTGGGCCAGTGAAGCAACGTCCTCCACATCCACAACTAGACTGAAGAACAAAAGGACAGCAACTTGTCTGTTCCCCTTCCCCCGATTCCCCAATAAAATCTTAAAAAAAAAAAATGCTTCCTAGTTGTCTAATAGCTTTTGTGTAGTTTGAATTGAGATCCAATCAGATTCATACATTGCTATTATAGATGTCTCTTAAGTCTCAAATCCATAGGTTCCGTTTCCATCTCTTTCTCTTGTAGTTTATCTGTTAAAGACACCAGTTCGTTTGTCCTGTTGAGTTTCCCACAGCTTCAGTTTTGCTCTTTGCATCACTGGTGTTAACAAGCTCCTCTTACTCTTGTATTTCCTGTAAATTGGCTGTTAGATCTAGAGGCTTGACCAGATTCATGCTTGATTTTTTTTTTGTAAGATTATGTCATAAATTACATTGTATCAGGAGGCACGTAATGTCTGATAGCCCCTCTTTGTGGTGTTAGCAGCCCTTGTTGATCATTTTCTAAAGCAGCACTCACTACTGTCCAATAGAATTTTCTGCCATGATGGAGATGTTGTTCTCTATCTGTACTGTCCAACTCAGTAGCCACTAGCCACATGTGGCCATCGAGCACATGTAATGTGGCTAGTGGACTGAGGAACTGAATATTTCTATTTGAATTTAAATAGCTACATGTGGCTAATGGCTATGGCATTGGACAGTGCAGATTGAGATTAATTCATGGAGGTTGCAAAATGGTCTAATTGAAAATAACAATGTGCTAAGAGTTTTAAAACAAGGCTGCACTTCTGGGCAGAATGGGGCAACAAAATTACAGAGAACATGGGGGTACTTGCTGGTGGTAGTAGGAATGACAGAGTGGTAAGAGGGGCAGAATGTGTTCAGGAAAAAGAGTCCTGGGGTAAATGAAGTAGAGACACTACAGAGTGAGATGTAGTTAGCTCATGAGAGCCAGGTTTGGCCTTTCTTTTGTAGATAACAGGGACCTACTGAAGGTTTTGAGCAGACAGGTGACAGAAACATAATTTGGGAAAATTAATCAGTCCATCTTAGATGGGATGATTCAGGGAGGGGAGCGACTAGAGGCCAAAGACTGGCTAAATGTGAAGCAAGTGGAAGTGGCACTGAGTTCTGGCTGGGGGCCAATTAGACCAGTTCTCTCAGGATGGCAGATCCTGAACTTTAAGGTGGTGTTCAGGTTCCAGGTTCTCATTTCTGGGCCCAGAGTTGATTGTGAGTCAGTCACAATCATGGCCTCAAGGCATGGTCAGGAAATTGGACCGTTGGCTTGGGTGTTAGAAATCTAGTAGGTCTTCTCCCTGCCCAGGCTTTTTCTGCCTTCTGGAAGTCCCCCTCAAGTTCACAAGTGACTTGGGAATATTTGGGGGTCCATATTGAAAAGATAACTCTTGGTTATGTCATTTCTATAGACTGCCGTATTCTTCCTTTGCATTTCTTTTTTTTTTTAATTGGGGAATTGGGGGAGGGGAACAGCACTGGGGAATCGGGGGGAAGAGGAACAGACAAGTTGCTGTTGTTTTGTTCTTCAGTCTAGTTGTGGAGGACATTGCTTCACTGCCCATGTTGGTATTATCATTGCGCTCTTCCCGGGTGAAGCAGATCGGTTGCCCTGCTCACGGCGGCTCTTGGCAACTCACACTGGCTGCCGGCCACTCACGCTGGTTGCCAGCCACACACGGTAGCTTATGGCAGCCCACTGCAGCAGGGGCTGCAGCCTATGCCGTCGCCGGTGACTCACAGCAGCCCAGCTCCAGGTCGAGCTGCTGCTCACCATCTTAGCTGTAGAGGACAGTGTCACTGGCCCCCATGTGAGATCCGAACCGGGCCCTGCTGCTCAGAGCTGGCGTCCTAAGCCAGCTCTTAACCAATGCACAACTTGGCCGGCCCTCTTCCTTTACATTTCAATTTGCATTTCTTGGGCGGGTGGAGTGGCTTGTTGGTTAAGAGCAGGTTTGGGATGCCAGAGGGCCCCAGTTCGGATCCCACATATGAGGGCCAGTGACACTGCCCTCTGCAGCTAAGATGCTGAACGACAGCTCAACCTGGGGCTGGGCTGCCGTGAGTCGCCGGCGACAGCGTAGGCTACAGCCCCTGTGGCAGTGGGTTGCCATGGGCTACTGTGTGTAGCCAGCAGCCAGTGTGAGCGGCCAGCAGCCGCAGTGAGCGGCCATCCAGAGACCGGCGACTGATCTGCCTCACCCGGGGAAGAGCGCAATGATGGTGCCAGCTTGGGCCGGTGGGGCAACGTCCTCCACAGCTAGACTGAAGAACAAAACAACAGCAACTTGCCTGTTCCCCTTCCACCGATTCCCCAGTGCTGTTCCAATCCCCCAATAAAAACTTGAAAAAAAAAAAGTGCATTTCTTAGAGTTACCTGAACTTTCTTAGGAGGAACTTAGGGGAGTTGGAACTTAGTGGAGGCACACACCCTGCTGGTGAAGACCATGAGCCTGGAGGTGGGAAAGAAGTGGAATGAGAGTGAAAAGGCAGAAGAGACAGACCTGGGTGCAGAGGGAGAAGGAAGACACCTAGGGGTCTTGGTTCCAAGGCTACCAGTGCCTGGGTGTCTGGGAAAATACAATGTAACCTCTTTCCATGTGAATAAAATCACCACCACCACCCTGTCCCCCCTTTTGCTAGCCATGAAGTGGCTTGGCAGAAAAGTTCCCTGGGTCCCTGTCACTTTAATTCAATACACAATCTTACGGTTACTATTTATAATCATAGCAGAGATTTCCTCAGAAACTGTAAAGCCAACTGCTGAAGAGGGTTCCCAGGCACATTGCCCCCACCACCATGTCGCCACCCTCCCCCCGCGCCCCCCACTCCCCACCCCCAGCACTTTCTGCATGCTCAGGACATCAGAAGCCACCTGCCACACCCAGAGGAGAAAAATCTGACCTGCATCCGGTTTGGACTACATGGTCAGGGCAGGAAGAAAGAGAATTGCATCCTTATTTGCTTATTCGCATGCTGGGGCCAGAGGCAGCTGGGTTGAACTTTGTTGTTGGTGGAGATGTCATGATCCATTTCCTTGGGCCCCATCCCATCCCTGTCCCTTCCTGGTCATTTGGACACTTTTCCCATGACCTAAATCTGATCTAAGGAAATGACAGTTCCCAAAGACCCAGCATAAGAGAATCAGATGGGAGGGACCTCAGGGACCAGAAAATGTGGCCAACCCCTTCATCACACGAGAACTCCAATCCCCTCCCAGCCCAGTGAGCAGAAATGGTTCTCAAGGCCCCTCAGCCAGCTAGCAGCTGCCCGAAACCGGTGTGCTGTCCTAACTCCTCGGCCAGTGCTCCCCCCTCTATAAAGAGGAGCCCACAGGGCAAATCCAGTCCACAGGTGTGTTTCCTTTGGCCTACATGGCATTTTTAGACTTTTTGAATGTTACCAACATTTTAAAAAGTGGGAAATTTCACCTAAATATCTGATTTTTGGCTTGTTTTGAAAAACTGGAAGATCTGATGTGCTGCATTCATTTATATACATACCCACTTGGCCTGGCTAAGGATCTGCACTGGAATGACGGCTGCACCACTTCCATACCATCTTTGACCTAGAGATTACCAACCGAGTGTCACCTTAATGGTGCAGAGAAGTGGCATCTTTGAACTGGAAGCTTCTAAGAAAAGTCCACCCTCAACCCCACCCCCCGTTCCCCGAAGCTATTTCGTGGATTAGACCTTGTTTTTCCATATTCATATTTGTGATTCCAAACACTCTGCTAGAAAGAGCTTTAGACTGGGAGTCAGGAG